CCCCAAAACCCCAAAACCCCAAAACCCCAAAACCCCAAAACCCCAAAACCCCAAAACCCCTTGCAAAATTAGCATTGTTGAATTACAGTTGGAGTTATGAAATTTAGAATTCGAGAAACTGATCAAAAGAAAATATCGTGAAATGTAGCAAATTATGTCAGAAAGAATTTAATTTTTGTCGATCTTGCCAAGCCTCTCGCTTACTTCTATCAGTCTCATATCAAAGCCTTTAGGCTTGGTGAAATCAGCTCCTTTTTCAACATAATTAACAGAATCTGGCTTCTTAAAGTGCTCTTTCCAAGAAGTGTCACCGCTATTAATATCTCTCACAGCATCTTCGTCGAACCATTCAATTCTTTTGCCGTCTTCCCATAGTCCATACTTCTCTACGCTCTCTTTTGGTACGACATAACGTCCAAGTCCATGTTGTTTTCCGAATGACCAGAATCCTTCATATTTTCTGCCGTCGGCCCATTTATAAATTCCAAAGCCATGCTTTTTATCTTCTTTATATTGGCCTTCATATTTTCTACCGTCTTTCCAAATATAGAAGCCATAGCCTTCCATGTTGTTATTTCTCCATTCTCCACGGTACTTTCTACCGTCAAGCCAGGAGTAAATTCCGAGTCCTGAGATCTTATTCTCAGCCCATTGTCCTTCAAACTGACTTCCATCAGCCCATTTGTACACTCCATAGCCATGTTTTTTGCCTTTTCTGTATGCTCCTTCGTACTCTGAGCCATCTTTCCAGCGTTCGACACCTTTTCCGTGCTGGAGGTCATCCCTCCACATTCCTTCATAAGTGGCACCGTTATTATGAGTGTAGACTCCGAATCCATTGGCTTTATCATAAGCCCAGTCTCCATCGTACACATCTCCATCTACATGGGTGAATTTTCCCTTGCCGTGGGCTCTGTTATACCTCCAAGATCCTTCGTATTTGGCTTTATCAGGCCATTTCTGGACTCCATGGCCATCTCTGAAGCCGCCTTTCCATTCTCCATTATACACAGCACCGGTTTTATAAGTATGTTTCTTGGTGATTCTGTCCATGTCAGTGTCATGTGTCTTTCCTTTGGCCACAGTCTCGTTAGCTTCTTCAGAGGTGAAGTACCTACTAGTGCCCCTATTAGACAACTTCATGTGCATATATTTATTCCTAGCTATATTGCCTCTCCAGAGAGCCTGGAGCTTAATGATCTTGCCCATGTTTTTCTTGATCAGATCCTCTTTGCCTGCACCTTTCTTAGGCTTGACTTTTTTATTTCTTTGCTCGCTTTCTTCATTGAATTCTTCGTCTTCCAGGTTGACCTCTCCGTTTTCTCCTCAGCAGGTATTTTGTCAGTTCCCCATTATATTTAAAATAGATTACAATAAATCTATAGAAGATAGGGGTTTTGGGGTTTTGGGGTTTTGGGGTTTTGGGG